AATACTGCAAACTGAGCAACTGTTAGACGTCTGGAGGGTTCTCCATGGCCATGCCAGGGACTAGACCTTTTTCTCAACGCCCCACCAGTCGTACTCATGAATTGACTATTTTTTGCTGAGACAGTCAGACTTGCACAGGGTTGCTACTATCTCTAATGAGATCTGTACGATCTGTGATCATTCCCAGATCTGGCAGTGGCGCCATAATGAGTCAATCCTGCAGGACGAGGGGGTCAGTGCTGCTCTAGAGCAGGAGATTTGTCAGTATTTTGAGGCTAATCAGTCGTCCACGATACGGCCTGTCTCGGTTTGGGAGGCACACAAATGTGTGATTAGGGGTTTCCTGATCTCCCAGGGCTACCGCCTCAAAAAGATTTGTTCGGCTACGATCATTGATCTAAAGAGCAATATTCGGTTCTTTGAACAGCGTCATAAACACTCCCAGGCTCAGGCGACTCTCTCGGAGCTCCTGGCTATTAGGGAAAAACTGCGGGCCTTTTTCTGGCATACGGCGAAAGCTCGGCGCGCCTTGTTGCGCAAACACTTTTACGAATGGGGCAACAAACCGGGGAGCCTCCTAGCAAGGGCTTTAAAGGGAAAGCCATCCCCGTACGGCCGTGTTGCAAGTACTCTCAAGCTCGGGGAGAGCTCTGAGGGAGTCTCTGGAAATAGATAGTTTTTCGGGAATTTTATCAATCTGTATGGTTCGTCCCCGTCACCCACAGGCCAATGCCCCCTCTGAGGGGGCATTGCGTGCAGGCAATGCCCCCTCTGAGGAAAGATGTCTGGAGAGGGGTCCCATCCACCATGGCCTGTCGGTTTCCTACCATTTACTCAGTGACCCACCTGATCTTCCACACCCAGTTTACATTTCCAAGTGGGAACGGGATCTAGAACCCCCTTTTACGGCACCTCAAGTGGATAGGATTTTTCAGATGACACATAAAGCCTCCATGTCCAGTAGACGGGGTTTAAGATCTTATCCAGATGGTACCGAGTTCCAAAGACCCTACATAAAATGTTCCTGCATTGCGCCCCGATTTGCTGGCGCTGTCAGGAGGGGTCGCTACTACATATCTTTTGGTCCTGCCCGTTGCTCAGAGTTCTGGGATAAGGTGGCCGATATTTGCGAAAGATTGACTGGCATTAGTCTAGGGTTCGAAGCGGCTGAATATTTACTACACCTGGCACCTATGCCTTTACGGCGATACAAGAAGTCTATCTTGGTGCATTTACTCAGAGCAGCGAAGGTATGCATCCCGCTGTACTGGAGGCGCACGTCGGCACCCATGATCTCACTATGGCTGTCAAGGATTGGGGATATCTATAGAATGGAGGATCTCCTGGCCTCTGCCAATCACAGGGTTTCCCAATATAACCGTACCTGGTTCTACTGGATGGAATTCACTGCGTCCCGAGACTATGTGGCCTTAATGGGAGAGGAATAGTAAAAGGACCAGATGAGTCCCGTAAGGGCAACTGGCCCGCCTGGTTTAGAGATGAACGAATGCCCCCACTGTGAATACTCCGGTGGTTGAGAGTCAATAATCAGGAGTCCAGACCAGATACAGAGACGGCTTGATGTCACTGGTGATGTGTTGGCGAATATCTAGATGTTTCTCTCGCTGCCATCTTTCTGCCTTCCTTTTTCCTTCCTCCCTTCTTTTCTTCCCTCTCCATCGCTCTCAGGTGTGTGAATACAAATTTGTGATTTCATGCTCCCCGACTTATACTAGTCAGCTGGGACAGAGATGTCTGAGATAATGCTGAGCGAAGAGATTTCACTCGGATTTACCGTACTGTTGCCTGTTATGGGTTTTACTTGCTATACTCCGCTGTATCTTCTATACATACAGTATCTCACAGAAGGGAGTACACCCCTCACATTTTTGTAAATATATAATTTCATGTGACGACACTGAAGAAATGACACTTCGCTACTATGTAAAGTAGTGAGGGTACAGCTTGTATATCAGTGAACATTTGCTGTCCCCTCAAAATAACTCAACACAATGTCTAAACCACTGGCAATAAAAGTGAGTACACCCAAGTCCATCACCTTTACCCTCAGCTACATTAGCAAGGCAGTGGTCATCTTTGAGATGTGTTTGTGGTTGTTATGTTGGAATACTGCCCTGCGGCCCAGTCTCCGAAGGGAGGGGATCATGCTCTGCTTCAGTATGTCACAGTACATGTTGGCATTCATGGTCCCCTCAATGATCAACCCCCACCCCTTCAACCTCTGCAGCAATGCTGGTAGCACTCATACATCTATTTCCCAAAGACAACCCTGGATATGACGCTGAGCATGTGCACTCAACATCTTTAGTCGACCATGGCGAGGCCTGTACTGAGTGGAACCTGTCCTGTTAAATCGCTGTATGGTCTTGGCCACCATGCTGCAGCTCAGTTTCAGGGTCTTGGCAATCTTCCTAAAGCCTAGGCCATCTTTATGTAGAGCAACAATTCTTTTTTTCAGATCCTCAGAGAGTTCTTTGCCATTAGGTGCCATGTTGAACTTCCAGTGACCAGTATGAGAGAGTGAGAGCGATAACACCATATTTACCACACCTGCTACCACACCTGAGACCTTGTAACACTAACGAGTCGCATGACACCAGGGAGGGGAAATTGGGCCCAATTTGGACATTTTCACTTAGGGGTGTACTCACTTTTGTTGCCAGTGGTTTAGACATTAATGGCTGTGTGTGAGTTATTTTGAGGGGCCAGCAAATGCACACTGATATACAAGCTGCCATCACATGAAATTATATAATAAAAAAAATTACAAAAATGTGAGGGGTGTACTAGCTTCTGTGAGATACTGTATGTTTATTTTTGTATTGTACTGAAAAACTTATAAAGAATTTACAAAAAATAATAATTTGATCCCCTGCAGATTTTGTAAGTTTGGCCACAAATAAATGAAAGGTCTATAATTTTTATCATAGGTGTATTTTAAATGATAGAGACATAATATCAACTAAAAATCCAGAAAAAAACCACGATACAAATGGTTTAAATTGAGTTGCAGTTCAGCGAGTAAAATAAGTATTTGATCCCCAAGCAAAACATGACTTAGTCCTTGTTGGCAAGCACAGAGGTAAGAGGTTTCTTGTAGTTGGTTACCAGGTTTGCACACATCTCAGGAGGGATTTTGGTCCACTTTTCTTTACAGATCTTCTCTAAATCCTTAAAGGAGAACTATGAGGCGAGTGCTTTTCACTCACCTCATAGTTCTAGCCGAACTGTGACAATGAGACTGTCACAGGTCGGCTCAGTAGATCGGGAGGTGAGCGAACACATGCCGGTGTTCGCTCACTTCTCGATCCTGTCACAGCTCTCTGCCGTGACAGGGAAGGGGATGGATTCCCCCCCTCCCCGCTCCGCCAACGCTGACTGGCGGAACGGACGGGTACAGCTGGCTCTGCCTCTAGATAGGCAGAGCCAGCTGTCACTCACGCAGCTGGGCGGATCTCGACATCTGTGGGAGCCAGAATTATTGTTGGTTGGTAGGGGATAAAATACTTATTTTACTCACTGAACTGTAACTCATTTTATAACATTTGTATCATGTGTTTTTTCTGGATGTTTGGTTGATATCCTGTCTATCATTTACAATGCACCTATGATAAAAATTATAGACCTTTAATTTCTTTGTAAGTGGGCAAACTTACACAAAATCTGCAGGGGATCAAAGAAAATGTTTTCCTCATTGTAGGTATATACTGACAAAGAAAATAAGACACTGGATTTGCTTTTTAACCACTTGAAGACCAGGGTATTAAACCCCCTTCCTGGCCAAGCCATTTTTCAGTATTCAGCGCTGCGGTATTTTGACTGACGTTTATTCAGTCATGCAACGCTGTACTGAAACTAATTTTATACGATTTTTGGGGGGCAGATAAAGCTTTCTTTTGGTGGTATTTAATCACAACCGGGTCACGTCGGGGAAATAGACACCAAACATGTGAAGCCTTAAAATTGCACGCACGCATGAAATCACAGAAAACAACCACACCCAAAATTGCCCATAGGTGACGCTTTAAAAGCTTTTACCGCTCATCAGTTCAGTGTTATCAGTAATGAATGGCCCTAAAGTTATTGCTCTCACTGTAACGTTCGTGGCGATATGTAACATGTGCGGCACAATAGGCGAAATAGACGTTTTCGCACGTAGGCGCACCGGACGCATGTTTGCGTGTGTATGTGGGGGTGCGGGGGACTTTAAAAAATGTTTTTTGTTATTTTACTTTTATTTGTGATTTTGTTTTGTTAAACTTCTTTATTTTTTTACACTTTAACTTTATTGCTATTACATAGGGGGCTAAGAAACCCCCTATGTGATAGCCAATTCACATAACAGGTCCTCTATGGAGACATCAGGGGTCTCCAAGACCCCTGTCACCTAGGGACTCCCAGAGAAGCTGATGAAGCAGAGATCTGGTTCAGCAGCTTATCACCGGCACCTGTTGCCGGAGAGTGACACTGAATGCGGAAGTGATGTAATAGACATCACTTCCTGCAATTGGGGGACCGGAGAGGACTGATACTGATGTACTGATTTCCATATGATCTCCAGTGACGGTCGCCGTACCGGTCCCAGCCGCACTGGGCACAGCGGATCTCGGGACCGGCAGCGGCGACGACGGTGGTGGTACGGATGGGGCGCACACCACCACCTACTACAAGCGATAGGGCATCTCTAGAGACGCCCAATCGCTTGAATGTAAACAGCCATCACTGGCTGTTGACATTTCTGACAGTTTCCCCACTTGTGTGCACGCTGAGCGCCACACACAAGTGTGGGGAGTGCAAAGACGTCTTAAGGCGCCCTCCCGCTCCTATAAGGTTCCCGTCCGGCCGTTCAGGAACGGCCATGGACGGGAGGTGGTTAAAGGCAATCAACTAACTGTAAAAATTACAGTAAGGGTTGTTTTCATTTCATTGTGTTTAACAAATGTGACAATTTTCATAAAGACGACCCACCAGCTTCTTACCCAACACAGTCAGTGTGACATTGGTTGATATACTTCCTGCAGCATTTTGTGCCATACAACTGTAAAGGCCCATGTCTTCAATTTTAACATTGACAATGAATAGGACTTCATCTTCAGGCATAACATGCATACGGCGTTCTCGTGCTGCAGGAAAATCAGTTCCCCCATCTTTCTGCCAAGCAATTTGTGGAGGCGGGTGACCTTCTGCTGCACATTCCAAACGTGCCATGGCACCAGTGCGGATGGTCAGATCCATTGGAGTTTTCAGGAATGAAGGCATTTCTGTAATGAAAAAGACAAGGTCATTTGTCAAACACAGATTACTACAGGTCAAAGGAGTAACAGACGCTATAACTAGGGATGTCCCGATGCCACTTTTTCAGGCCCAAGTACAAGTACAAGTACATCCCCTCATGTACTTGCCGATACCAATTACCAATACTTTTTCTTAAAGGGACAGGTGACTTTAAATGATCCATAGTACAACTACATGTTATGTACTATGGATCATGGTTTAACCTATTCATGTTAGCAGGGGAGAATTGCTGGAGTGTAGTGAAGGTGTGTGCTGTATATATGTACTACATATACATTACACACGTCCAGTACACTATAGCAATAGATTTACAGCCAGCCCCGTCCCAGCTTCCCTCACTCACAGTTTCAGTCCGATCCCTGTTGCCTCACGCGGCTAAGCAAGAAGAAAAAAAAAAACATAGCGCAAGCTTCGGCGCTAGGCTTCGGGGCATTTTGACAAGTACAAGTACTTGTCAAAATGCCCTGTATCGGGCCCGATTCCGATGCTAGCATCGGTATCGGGACATCCCTAGCTATAACACTTGGAAAAAAAAAAGGTTGTTTTTTGTTTTTTAAAGGCACTTTAAAGACTTAAAGGAGAACTATGAGGTGAGTGATTTTCACAACCTCATAGTTCAAGCCGACTTTTAAGAATGAAACTGTCACATGTCGGCTCTATAGATCGGGAAGTGATCAAACGCATACAGTTGCTCGCTCACTTTCCGATCATCTCCCTGCAGAGAGCGATGACTGTCAGTCACTGCTCCGACCCTCCAGCGCTGACTGGAGGAAGGAAAGGGGAGGGCCCAGCTGGCTCTGCCTCTAGATAGGCAGAGCCAGCTGTCGCTCACGCAGCTGGGTGGATCTCGACAGCATTGTCGGGATCCGTCCCGGCGCTCTCAGTATATCACAGGCAATAGCCCACTATATACTGAGCTTTGGGTAGCGCTGGTATATGACCTCCAATGGCCCTTAAGGGAACTATGGGATAAAAAGGTTACCCCACAGTTCTCCTTTAGGTTATTTTTCATAATGCTGTGTGAAGTGAATAGGAACACTAAACAACAAACATATAGACAGGGGTGTGGAAATTTTAGAAAAAACTACTTGTCCAAGGACTAAAGCGGCGGCCGAATCTACTTGTCCCTTCATGGCAATCTACTTGTCCCGATACAAAAAATAATAATTTTAACCAAAACCGTATTTAGTAGTGCTAAGAAGCACTTCTCATTGGTCAGTGCCGTCAGGTGACTGCGTTGACTAACAAGTGCTTGCAAATTGCGAGCGGAATTCACAATACATGGAACAGGTACATATACTACACCCGTACTGGTGGACGGGAAGGACCGTTTGCCGAAAGGTAAGTATAGTGGGAGGGAGATTTGTGCGGGTAATTCCATTTTCCCAAATTACTTGGGAAAGTGAATATACCCTTTAGGGTTGTTGCAGACTTGGGGATTCCCAGGACGTGCGATTGTGTGCTGTTGCATACAGCGGTTTCATCCGCATTTATTTAGTTCAAGCCGACTTTTAAGAATGAAACTGTCACATGTCGGCTCTATAGATCGGGAAGTGATCAAACGCATACAGTTGCTCGCTCACTTTCCGATCATCTCCCTGCAGAGAGCGATGACTGTCAGTCACTGCTCCGACCCTCCAGCGCTGACTGGAGGAAGGAAAGGGGAGGGCCCAGCTGGCTCTGCCTCTAGATAGGCAGAGCCAGCTGTCGCTCACGCAGCTGGGTGGATCTCGACAGCATTGTCGGGATCCGTCCCGGCGCTCTCAGTATATCACAGGCAATAGCCCACTATATACTGAGCTTTGGGTAGCGCTGGTATATGACCTCCAATGGCCCTTAAGGGAACTATGGGATAAAAAGGTTACCCCACAGTTCTCCTTTAGGTTATTTTTCATAATGCTGTGTGAAGTGAATAGGAACACTAAACAACAAACATATAGACAGGGGTGTGGAAATTTTAGAAAAAACTACTTGTCCAAGGACTAAAGCGGCGGCCGAATCTACTTGTCCCTTCATGGCAATCTACTTGTCCCGATACAAAAAATAATAATTTTAACCAAAACCGTATTTAGTAGTGCTAAGAAGCACTTCTCATTGGTCAGTGCCGTCAGGTGACTGCGTTGACTAACAAGTGCTTGCAAATTGCGAGCGGAATTCACAATACATGGAACAGGTACATATACTACACCCGTACTGGTGGACGGGAAGGACCGTTTGCCGAAAGGTAAGTATAGTGGGAGGGAGATTTGTGCGGGTAATTCCATTTTCCCAAATTACTTGGGAAAGTGAATATACCCTTTAGGGTTGTTGCAGACTTGGGGATTCCCAGGACGTGCGATTGTGTGCGGTTGCATACAGCGGTTTCATCCGCATTTATGGGGTTACATCTGTGTGGCAATCGCTGAAAAAAAGGTAGATGTACCCATTTTCACGACATGCACCGTGCACTGTTTTCAACCGTGATCGCCCGCGGCTGTATTGCAGCAGGAAAACGCGCAATCTGCCTGGCACGACTGGGGTGTCATTAAAAAATAATGGCACTGACAGCACGATCGGCGGTGGTGTGCGATTCCGTAACCACCCAGCCATCCGCTCGGTTTCGTGCATGATGACCGTGCAGTCACGGATCGCACACCACTGCCTATCGCGCTGGCAGTGCCATTATTTTCTGTATAGAGGGGTTTTCTCAAATTTGACAGCAAAAGTGGAAATACAGTTTAACGGAGCACAATTAAGAGGTGTTCCAGCTTTCAAGTGACACACACCCCCTCCCCCCTCAAGGCTCTTCTGCTTGTTCTGGTGGCATCACAGGTCCTTCCAGTTCTCTGGTAGTGGCAGTGGGTTGTGCTTACTCCTGCATTGACTTGCACTTATGTAATAACACGTGAGCACTGTTCAGGACAGTAGTACTGTGAGCCACAGCTGGTGTGATAATTCTGCCCCAATGGGTGTGCCCATGACAGCCAGGGTTCAGAAAAAGTCGTATGAATGAAGCCAGCAGTCATTTAATTGTGAGGACCGGCAACACCTAGTGAGCAAGAGAAAATTATATTGGTACAGCACCGGACTAAAGATGAGCACTGCAGGAAAAATAGGATTTTTGTACTCGCCACAAAATCTTACACTTGGAGTCCATTGAGGGACACAGGAAGTCTTAAACCTTTGGGGTATACTGGCACCTACAGGAGGAATGGACTCTGGCAAACAAAAAACTGCAGGCCAGCCCAAGGTACAATTCCTTCTACTACCAGCATGCCTCAGATTTAAAGCAAAGTTGTACCAAGAGCATGATCATAAAAAACACAGAAGAGTGGTATGCGTGTCCATCAAAAGACTGCAAGAAAAAGATGTACAAAAGGTGTACAAAAATTCCATTTACTTTTTTGTCCATTAAGGCACACAAAGTCTTAAACCTTCAGGACATTCAAGAGCAGTCCGACTGAGGAGTTGGAAACAACCGCTGGCAGGCCCAATGTAAAACATTAACGTGACTGTGTGCAGGTCAAAGAGCTAAAAGATCTTATGCCCAAAGCTCGCATCAGAGTCAGAAATATCCACCTGGCAGAACTTAGAGAATAAGTGAACAGAAGACCAGGTGGCAGTCTTGCAAGTCTGGAAAACAGAGGCCTGTTACAAAAAAGCCGGAGGTGCTGATAGCCTTAGTAGAGTAAGCCTTACTAAGAATGAAGGGAACCTGATCCTGATAAAAACCACAAGCTTGAACGGTGGTCTCAGAGCCACCTAGAGGTGGTGAAGCAAGATAACAATGCCCCTCTGGGATGACAAAAACAGAATCAAATTCTGAAAGAAGCAGCGACTGAAAGATAGACTCACACAGCCCAACCCACATCCAAATAATGGACACAAATTTCCTTTTGCTGAACTTGAGTCAGACAGAGGGACAGAAGTACAATGTCCTGATTAAGATGGAAGGCAAAGACTAACTTGTCTTTGTGCAGAAGCAAGTGGGGTTCCTTGCAGGATAAAGCTCATCTAGGTGAAGTGATGGACACAAGAAATGCAACCTTGTGGGTCAGAGTAGAGGGAGGCTTCTGAATCACCAAAAGAGCCATATTCTTATCGAGTCAAGGGAAATTTGACTGGTAGAAGAACATGGGAAATTCCCATTACAAAGGTTTTAATCAGATTGGAAAGCCAATAGTATCTGCAACAGAATAGAAAGGGCAGATACATGTTTCTTTATGGTTCCAAGAGCAAAATGTTGGTCCAGAATTAATTGCATAAATGAGAGATCTGTCCCACCGATAAATTGCTTGGGTGAAAGCCCTTAGACTCACACCAAGAAAAGTACACATTCCATGTCAGAAGGTGGACTCTGAACTATTATTGGAAAGCTCTCCACCTCAATCCAGCTGAGCAACCAAGGAAGACGTTTCAGGAGAGGAAAGGCATAGATTAGGGAGTACTGATCCAATAGAACCACTAAAGCATCCACTCCCTCCATCAGTGGGTCCCTTTACCTTGAACAAACCTGTCCTGTTTGCTGTTGTACATGGAGGCCAGGAGGTCCATATCTGGGGTTCCCCCCATGATACAGGTCCTGAACACATGCGCAGAGACAACTCTCCTGTGTCAAAGCACTGCTCGCTGAAGTACTCTAAGCCAGTGATGAATGGCTGACAAAGCTGGAAGATGATGTTCCACCCTGGAAAGGATCTGCTCTACCCCTCTTGCTACTGGGAGACTTCTTGTTAATCTTGGATTGTTCCTCACCACTGCTGTGGTGTTATATAACTGGATCTGAATCAGATAGCCCTCCAATGGGTTAGACCAATGATAGAGGGAAAAAGTCTGCCAAAATGGAAGAACAACAAAATGGTAGTGCAGAAAACCAACAGGAAAACAAAGAAAATGCTGGAAAGAAGGGCACATGTCCATGTTTTATGTCCACTGACGCCAGGAAGTCCCCCTGGTAAAGGGAAGCAATGAGAGATCTAGTGAATTCTATCTGGAATTTCCGAGGCCTAATATAAAATTTTCAGGGCCTTGAGGGTGAATGCTCACTCTGGGTTTTGGGAAAGCTAGCAAATGTGGGTAAAACCTGACGTTCTGCAGCAGGAACTAGGGGTCCAGAATTTTTGGGAGTAACTGATAAACTTCTGCAAGCTGCTGAGTGGACAAAGGGAGATTTTATGCTCGAAACCGAGGATGAAGGGAATGAAATTTGAGTTTGTAGCCCTGAGACACCAACTCTTGCATCATTTATCAGTGATGCAAAATATCCATGCAGCTGCAAAAGGTGTGCCCCACTCTGAAAAGTGGGGGGCATACCTTTATGGGAGCCTTGGAGTGCCAGACCTTGCAGCCAGATGGGGAGCCTCCCTCAGGGGGCTTTGACGAGGAAGCTAAGGGTGTGGGTGAAACGAAAGGAACTCTTCTTAGCAGAGACAGACCGAAAAGGTTTAGCAGTCAGCTCTTTCGGCTTCATCCTCTGAGGAAAAGGAGTGATTATGCCATGTAGCATTCTTGATAACAGCAACCAAAGTCGATCCAAAAGAGATGTCTCTCAAAGGCCACACAGATCAATCGCATTTTGCAAGGGAGTTCTGCACGCGGCAACTGTGGTCTATGCGGAGTCCAGCACTTTAGGTAAAAGGGCCTTGCGCTTATGTACAGTCAAGAGACTTATGCAAAAAGAAAAAAAAAAAGCCAGGAGGCTACTAACAATTTATTACAGCTAATGTTTCATGCCATTGACATCTGTCCCTCACACTCAATGATCTAAGGGCCACTGGCAGCAGCGGTCAGAAGCCCCTTACAGGGATCTTGATCAGGCTGGTCTGACAATGCAAAATTACAACCAAAATTGGGTGTAAGGCAAGACCTGCCAAAGAGTCCTGGAGAAGGCCACCAGCTGCTTATCGGTCCGACAGCACAGGAAGAAGCGACAGGTTGATCCTCTAGCATCAAGTGGTGTATACCACATTAATAAAAGCTGAAATGGTCTCCTTTAACTTGGGAGTGAGAGTAGTGGACTGCAACTGCTTAGGGGAAAGTTAATCAGTTAAAGACTTTACCTACAGTTTGCTTGCCAGTGTCTAATCCTCCTGTAGGCAGCAATTTACCCGGAGGTTTAAAGGAGAACTATGAGGTGAGTGCTTTTCACTCACCTCATAGTGCTACCCCACCTGTGACAATGAGACTGTCACAGGTCGGCTCAGTAGATCGGGAGGTGATTGAACACATACCGGCGTTCGCTCACCTCTCGATCCTGTCACGGCTCTCTGCCGTGACAGGGGAGGGGCTTGATTCCCCCCTCCGATCCTCCAGCGCTGACTGGCAGAACGGACGGGGGAGGGGGCGGGTACAGCTGGCTCTGCCTCTAGATAGGCAGAGCCAGCTGTCAGTCACGCAGCTGGGGGGATCCCGGCACAATTGCGGCGCCTCAGTACACCGCGAGCTATAGCTCGCGGTATACTGAGCCTAGGGTGAAGGGAGGACGCTCCTTTAAGGCTTCTGGTATCCCGTTAGTTTTGCTTGCCATTTTTTCCTAAACACTGAAAATCTGATTTATCTTTATTTTTTATTTTAAGACAGCTAAAACCTTTTTAAAATGACAATTTTGTAAAGGTTGCCTAGAACAATACATTTACAACCTGGCCTAAACAAAGAGAACAGTTTTAGCGCATATAATTCATTCACATACTACTTTGCATTACTGATGAAATTAAAAAAAGGTTTGGGACCAACACATACCATTGACTGTGAGCTTAGCTTTACTGGAGTAATTGGAACCAAAATGATTGGTGATGACACACTGGTACTTCCCTTCATCTGTAAAGTTCACATTATAAAGGTGCAAAACTGTAGTATACTCTATGAGCTCCACTCCATTTTTATAATATCTGGCAAAAGTTTCTACTTTGGCATCATACAGGATTTCACTGTCTTTCCTCCATGCCGTGTACATGGGCGTATCACTACTACTGCCTGCAGAACATGTGAGCGTCACATTCATTCCTTTCAATGCCACAGTTGTCTCCGGATGTGCTTTGATTTGTGGTTTAGGAAAGTTATCTGGGAAAACAAAAATTATAGCATCCTTTAGATCAATACAAGAAAGGCAGTAAAAATATAGAATTAGAACCTATCATCTAGCATGGTATAAAGAATGATAAGCAACTTCTGAGTTATGCGCTGCTGCAAGCCACTGGATATCTGGAAAAGGTTCTTTTTTTTTAAGCCCCCAGGACATAAAAAGATTTTAACCAAAGGTTCAATATATACAGCAAAACCCAATGTATATTCAAGAATTTGATTGATTTTCTTACGACAAGTTCACTTTTGAAACTTCTTCGAACTGGACCACTCAGCAGCGGGTGAGGAACGTGAACTCTTCTCAGCCACGAGGCTGGAGGGCACGCTGCGGGGTGAGGTGAGGGAGCTACACCAGAGGGTCACCGCTGCAGACTCCAGCATATCGGCCCTGTCAGCCTCAGTCACACTGCATGACGCCCGTATAGAGGCGCTGGAGGCAGCGTGGACATCCCACTGTTCTCATCTCTGGCAAATGCAACTGAGGGTGGAAGACGGAGAAAACCGAAGTCGCCGCAATAATATCCGCCTGCAGGGGATTCCGGAAGCTACTCAAGGCCCTAAGCTACACGCCACTGTTACTGCTATCCTCAATACAGCCCTGAGGAAGCCCCCTACCGCCATCATTGGGCTGGACAGAGTTCACCGTGTGTCAGAAGCCAACCACTCCTCTCCCTCTCCAGTGGGAGGCACTGAAGGTGGTTCTGAGGGGACTCTTAATCCAGCTGGGCTCCAGGTTGAAGAGGTAGAATTCCAGGAATGTTCGGGAGGCTGTTCAATCACCCTCGGATCTTGAGACCCAGCACATGCTCTCACCTTCTTCGGAGCTCCTGTTACATATTTCTCAAGCTCAATTAAAACTCTTGGGCCTCCTTGACTTACCGACAGGACAAACTGGCGTCCAGGGCTTAAGGGACTCGCAATAAATGAGGGTGGGCCCTTGTCCGGACACTGCATACTAGATCCGTTCACATGTATGTTCCGCATATCCGGTCCACGTAAGGTGCCCTTCGGACCCCCCTCGGAGATCCAACGTACGCCCGCAGACTTTTACGCCTCTGTACAATCTTCCGGGGTTCGACGCGCCTCCCACTGACCACAATGTACGGGTGTTGACTTATGTCCAAGACGCCACCCTCAAAGTGTTGGCGGATCCTGAAGATGAGGCCTTAGAGAGTTACCCTTTACCATGGAGGAATTGCTTTTGGCTCTCCAGTCTGCACCTGCGGGCAAGAGCCCCGGGCATGACTGCTTTACAGTAAAATTTTACAATCTGTTTCGGGACAAACTTACCCCCTTCTTACTCTGGGTCTTTAATTCTATAGCTCATTGTGCCTCCTTCCCACAAGAGGCCCACATTTCTCTGATTCCTAATCCGGACAAGGACCATTCTCTCTGTACAAATTTTCGACCGATCTTTGATCAATGTCAATGTGAAACTGTTTGCCAAACTGATTGTAACCAAATGCAGCCTCCCCTTCCGGGGATGATCCATCCTGACCAGATGGGGTTTGTCCAGGGTCGCGAGGCACGGGATAACACCATCAGGACCTTGCTGCTGATGCACAATGCCCAAACCTCCAATACCCCACTCTGCCTCCTCTCGGTGGACGCAGATAAGGCATTTGATCGGCTGTACTGACATTTTCTCAAGCACACTGTTACAACTGGGCATTCATCCTAAAATGCTTAGAAGCGTGATGGCCCTGTATTCTGGCCCATCAGCTAGGGTCCACCTTAATGGCTCACTCTCTCCTAGCTTTCAGATTTCTATTGGCACCCGACAGGGTTGTCCGTTATACCCTCTCCTTTACGTGCTCACCATGGAACACCTGGCTTCACGGGGGCCGTCTCCTCCGGAGATGTTTTTGTGGGGACTCCTGGCAGAGGGTGGGACCTCCTTTGTACGCTCTTGCCCATTCCCCTACTCCATCTTTGGCCTTTCTGATCTCCTTCCCCTCCTGTTTTTTCCGATCTATGTACCTCCCCTCCCTCTAGGGGTTCTACCCTGGTCGTCTTCTTCTTTCTGCCTTTGTCTATTTCTGTGTTTGCAGATGACAAGTTATGTAGTGGAATACAGTCCTTACAGGATGTCTCCAACTTACAGGCAGATCTGAATGCTCCGTGTGATTGGGCAACTATTTGGCAAATGGTTTAATGTTGATAAATGTAAAGTTCTGCACTTGGGGACTGGAAACATGCATGCGTCCTATACTCTAAGGGGAGTATGTTTGGGGGAGTCAATGATGGAGAAAGATCTGGGTGTTCTGGTAGATCATAGACTCAATAATAGCATGCAATGTCAAGCTGCAGTTTCTAAAGCAAGCAAAATACTTTCTTCTATTAAGAGGGGTATAGACTCCAGAGACTTTCTTTGTATCTATATAGGTTGGACTCGATGGACTGGTGTCTTTTTTCAACCTGACTATGTAACTATGTCTATACCCTACGTACTACTCAAGCTGTCAGGTGCCCAGGAACTGCAGGGCTCAGCTCCAGCGCCACCTGGAGGCGCTCTGGATCCTAACACTTACGATGAAGGCCTTTACTGCAAATGCCTTTAGATCATATCCTTGAGACACTTGAGATTTGGGGCTCACGAACCATGGCACATATGGTGGCCTGGACTGCATAATTATTACAAATTACTCTACCAGATAGGACAACCTGAATCGTTAATTATGCAAACTTTGCTCTAACTAAATGCCGTTGTCTGTATAGTTACTTTTGTATATCGAGTACCAATTGGGACGGTCTCTTCTCTCACTTTTGTTGTCTTCCCTTTGTGGTTAAAGACTATTCGTTTTTTGATTTGTACTGGAAAAGTTCAAATAAACTCAGATTGTACTAAAACGATTTCAGCTATGCAGAATTGGAAATTCAAACAAATACAGGCGGTCCCTGGGTTACATACAAGATAGGGACTTTAGGTTTGTACTTAAGTTGAATTTGTATGCAAGTCGGAACAGGTAAATTTTTTAGTTTTGGATAGCATAGGGAAGGGTCACGGTTCTTTTGCTGTCTGTTCTTGTTGTTCTGAAGATTATAATATAATTAAAAAACATTTTTATTTAAAATGACACAGCAATTTTATTTTTAATTTTATAAACTTAATTTTTTATTTGTTTGCATTTTTAATTTTAATTTAATTAACTTTTTCTTTACTTTTTAAAAATAATTTGTCTTAATTTAATTTTTTTAAACTTTTTTATTTTAATGCTGG